AAATAGGAAGAAAAATATGACATTTTCGATTTTTTTTAACATATTGTGCCGCCAAAAGTTAAGCCCACGTTTTTTTATGCGCATAGAAAAATGTTCATTTTTAGTGATATTTGAAAGCCAAAAAGCCAAAAATCTCCGTGGATATACAATTCATCCAAACCAAAACAGATACCGCCTAGTCCATTTCTTCACTTTCACTTTCATCACATTGACGTGTTTCATACTCGTCCAATGGAGTTTGTACAAGTTTTTTCCACTGGTGTGCTAAACTTGTTAATTCATCTCTTAGTTTTTGAGGAGTTATTTCTGGTTCATATATGACCAATTTCGCACACAGTTTGTTAAAAATTGAAGCTTTCAAGCCTTAGATCACATGTAATTGTCGGCCAAGGTGAAGTCGACATTTCTTATTTTACTGCCCTAGGTTAATATATACTTTTTTTCATTTCTTTCCAAATTTTTTTCCTTGATTTTTTTTCGAATTTATTGCTCAAAATTTTTTCCAATTTTTGTTTTTCAAATTTATTTTTCAATTTTTTTTTCATATTTTTTTCAATTTTTTTTTAAATTTTTATTTCAAAAATATATTTCATCGACCGCGGCCCATCGGGAAACCTCCCGAGTTCCCGCATAGCCAATCCGCCTCGCCTGGAAACTACAGATTTTGTACTGCACTGCAGACGTTTCAATTACATAATCTCATTTTGTAATTTTATAGTCATCGTACTGAATTCGCCATTTTGAATTTCTTGAATTTTGAGTACGGATCCGAAATCAGCAACCCCGAAAACCTATTAATACCAAATTTCAGCACAATCAGAGCCTCTTCAGCACTTTTGTACGCCATATTGGATCCCCCATTTTGAATTTCTTAATTTTGAGTACGGATTTGAAATCAGTGACCCCAGAAACCTTAGTGTACCTACCACATTTCATAGTGGTTGGAGCACTGTTTTCTGGATGCGTGTTTCTATTTTTTGTTTGAATTTTTTTTATATTCTCTAAATTAAGTTATTTCTTTAGTTTACTTAAATATCTGCTTACAACTGGCTAGTATGACTTGATTTGATAAAAATTATGGGAAAACGAAGTAAAATACAAGACAATAAAAAAATGTTTATTCTTCTAAGTTTATTTATTCAGAAACAAACATACACAAGAAACTTAAAAAAAATATATATATAAGAACTTTTTCAATGAAAAATTCTCGTCAGGGTAGGTATATTATTTTCTGCTGCTTACTGTGATCAACCCATTCTGGCAGCTGCTTAGTCCACTAGGTCCAAAGCTGAATGTCTAATATCTGTAAGATATAAATACTTAGATGTAAATGTTGTCAGTGCTTATATTGTTAAAAACATATACAAATAAGATCCTTTATGGGATTATTTTTTTCTTTCATGTGCTATGTCAATCCTTAAGTATATCCCGTTAATAAAAGTATGATTTCTTAGATCTAGTGCAATAAAGTGCAATAAAAGTCTACTAATATTTTTTTTACATTCAAACTCTAATTTGACTGGAGTATATCGTCTAAAAATATACTGCTTTATCAAAATAGGTAAATAGGTAATACTGTGTATTATTTAACATAATAAATTATAAAACGTGAAAACGTTAATAATATTAAAAATGATAAATTGTAATAACCGTACATTCGAAAACAATCATCCCTATTCATTGATGACACGATTTTTCTTTGATAAAAGACCGACAACTTTTTGCTCTACTTTGCATGGAATACGATCCTACTAAAATGCACACGTGCAAATTAGAAGGTTATTGCCCTCGACACAGGTTGACCTAGGTCGGAAATACGTACCAAGTTGTTTATTTGTCTCCGTGCGGTTGTATTTTTATCTTCTATTACTTACAGTCAATATTTAAATACTACATACATTTCACCCTCTCTTTATAATTTATCTAGTGAGTGTTGGTTTTTTATGTCATTATTTCTGTAATGAAATTGAAATGGTTATGAAATGAAATTTAAATTATTTGAACTCTTGGGATTTTGTAATTTCAATATTAAATTTTATTTAAAGTGAAACAGAGCTAATTTCTTTGCAGCCATAATAGTCACATTTGGTCACATGAAAACCCGCACACTACTCGTCTGTTTAGCTTTCAGAGGAGGTTGGGTGTCAATATATGGACAGGAGTATATGGCGATCGTTTAATTGGGCCGCATTTTCTACCTGTACATCTTAATGGGCCGCGTTACTTTCAATTTTTAGTAGAAGGCTTACAGCAAATTAAAAAATTATCACTATTATGTTAAAAAAATATGATTTTTGGCAAGTCATGTTCAGACCTCCTCGAGGTTCTTGCTGGGCAACAATAACAATTTAATATGTTGATTGCATAATTATAAAAAAATAATTTATAGCACTTTAAATTATTATTGGCTGACGTGAGCAAACCGTTTATTTATTGTCTTTATATGTGCGAAAATATATAAATATGGCAACATTGCATCTAGGTCGGTTTGTTCATATCGTAGCCGGCTGACGTCAGCCGGTCAGTAACAGCCTGAAAAGGGGGTTAAATAACGATTTGAAAATATTTTTTTACAGCTCTGCATTTTGCATTTCCCAATTTTTTTTCTGGATGCGGTTTGCATCATAGACCTAGTAATAGTTTGCACTTACTTTTTTTGTCTTCTACCTAAATATCTGCCATTGGCTAGTATGTCTTGACTTGATAAAAATTATGGGAAAAGGAAGAAAAATACAAAAAATGATAAAAAAAAATATATATTCTTTTAAAATTTGTTCAAAAGCAAACACGCATAAGAAACTTAACAAAATAATAAAAAAAAAAAATAAGAATTTTTAAGATGAAAAATTCTCGTCAAGGTATTATTTTCTGGTCCCGGCAACTGCTTAATCCGCCAGGTCCAACACTGAATTTTTGATACCTGTAATATATAAATAGCTGTAAATGTTGTTAGTACAGTTAAAAGCAGGTACAAATAAAATTCTATATGGGACTATTTTTTTAGTATTTGTAATGTCGATCCTTAAGTAGGTGTTTAGAACCGTTTTAGGATTGCCCTTGCGTCACGAGTGTGTCATATATCAAAGACTACCGCAGCTAAACAAAACAGAGCTGACACTCAGATGAAGATCGTGTATCCGTACTAGCTTTGATTATATTTTATGAGCGCTGAAATATCGATTTTTTGGCATATTATATAGAAATTTTTATAATTTTCGTTTACATATTTCAAATAAGTACCTAAATGTAATGATATAGGCAACCATTAACCAAATTTGGGATATATCCTTTGGGAATAGTCAAGATGACCTTTCAATTAAATGAAAACAGTGACTAATTTGACTAGGACGTTTCTCTTTAGCTCATACGAATAATAATGCTTGTGACGCAATGGAATAACAAATAATAAAAGTATGATTTCTTAGATCTATACATAAAAAAGTACAGAAACTAAAGTTTAACTACAAATATTTGATTCACCCTGTAGAAGAAAAATACTCAAACATAAACTTAATTAAGTAGAAAATAATTCTACATCTGCGTCACTAAGGAAATTTATAAGACCGATTTATATTAATCAGAACACTGTAGGTACATATATTTTTGGTCGCACATGCAATTTTAAATATAATGTAACCACTAGTGATATAGAAATTTTATACCCAGAAAATCCAGAATTTTCATAGCAGTGACTTTTTTGAAATTTTGTGATTATTTATTTGTGACATTTTAAGTTACTCTTTTTACTTGAATGAAAATCGGAAAAAATTGAAGAAAAGTGATGTGATTTTTGAATTAAAATGCAGTATCACTTAGTATAAATAAACAAAAAATTACAGAAACTAATGTACTTACGGTCCAGCCTGTACTGGACAGATATCTTCTGGGAGCGCCTCTTGGGGTTGGGACTTCTGCTCTTTGTTTGCTCTCTACTCGGACGTGTTGTAGGAATATCGCCAATAAGGCTCAGACTAAAGAAATAAATAAACAAATTATAAACATTATTATGTACACATTAATCGAAAACATAAATCCATGAAGACATTATCTTAGCTTTGTATAAAAGTTTTAGTTAATTACTTTGGGTCTTTTGTCACTTGCGAAAAAATAAACAGTTGGGTCAAAAGGTTATTTCTACGAAAAAAGTTAGTAGTAGTCCAGGTAACTTTTTTACTCCGAGATTTTTTTATAGAAAAGTGCAGGTTTTAATATTTTATGTTTATTTTCATATATACTTGTGAACATTCATGGGTTTTGAAAAAACAAATAAACCGACGGTCTGGGACGATGATGTCATGAGTAGCCAGCCTTCACTGTGCCTTTAGACATAATAATTGTTTATAGTTATAAGATTAGGTCCCTATATGATGTGACGGCTCCAACAGGAGATTATTATTATTGAATGAACGCTCGTTCGAGTTAGACCGGGCAGAAAATTGTAAATTGTACGAAATAAACTCGAAAATAAAGATTTGTGTTGGACTTTTCGAAACCTTATTTTTGTTTAATAATCACCAAATCTAACATGCATATGTTTATAATATATTTATAAACTGCCAATATCTCAATGAAGATGTATTATTTCGAAGAAAAATTTCAAATAAAAGTTGTTCAAAATTAAATATCCTACCAAATAGCTACTATGATAAACTTTGATTTTCCCAATAGTTTTCCCGTATATTTTTTAAATGAAGTACAGAAAATTAATATTTTGGAGCCAAAATAATGATTAATTCATTTTAAAATTACAAAAGTGAATTAGAGAAAAGAGAATTAAGTACCGAAAATTCTTGTAAAATTTTATATAGTTTTCCTTCCGAGGTTTGAATATTTATGAGCATCAACCGGATCATTTAATATGTTTTCGAGGTTGTACATTACGAATTAATGTTGCGCTTTTTATAATTTCCAAAAAAATCTGTTATCTTTAATTTTTGTTTATAATAACGATGAAGCAGTTTTACATAAGAAACCTAGATATGGAAGCCATAAAAAATTGTTAAAAATAATATATAAAAAAAGTTTTTTAATTATAAATAAATAAAAAAAAGTATACATGTTTGTATATTTTTTTTATTATACCTTTATAGCTGCAGAAAGTTCCTTCAAATTCAAAAAATAAGTTCCAATTTTATTTTATTACAAACTTTTATTTTTTAATATTCAAAGTAAAAGAAAATCGAGGAAAACAGGTTTTTCTGGAAAATATTAAAAAACATATAATTAATTCGTAATGTACAGATTCACTATATTTTGACCCCCGCCTTTAACTTTTTTGTTTTAAGTTATAAAAAAATGTGAAATATAAAAGTTGCACGATTTTTTATGAATTTTTCGAAAATGATAGTAGAAAAACAAATGAAGTCCAAACAAAATGGCCGCGGATGTTAACTTTGTTAAGTTAAAAGGAACACCCTGTATATTTTTACATATTTGGATAGAACGTTCCCTGTCGAGCATAGTCGTGTAGGGTTTGTTGGGTCAATCGCTAACAATAAGCGATATACTATTAAAAACAAAAAGAAGATTTTTTATTAAGAAAATGATGTATCTTGTAATTGTTAAACCTCTTTCATGAATTTCTGCCTTTTTACAATTGAGTAAGAATTTACAGATTTAGTTATAATATATTTTGATAGATCATGGGCATTATATGGTAGGTCGTGACAGTGACAGGTAGTAATGTCTTGACAACATTGTTATTGATTGACAGTATGTATTATTATTTAATAAAAATAGGTTACATAGAAGTAGAAAATTATTTCGAATTAAAATAGAGTATGGAGAAGGACTTTGTTCTATTTTAATACCTATAATATTTCAATTTTCTACATCTGTGTAACCCATTTTAATTAAATAATAATACAAACTGTCAAACAATAACAATGTTGTCATGACATTACCTATCACTGTCACGGCCTACCATATAACATTGTCCGTGAGTAATTAGGCCTCTCACGGCCTAATTAGTGAGATTTACTTACAATACCTACAGCATTTTGGACCATATCAATGTTCGATCTGTCAAAATATATTATAACTAAATCTGTAAATCCTTACGTAATTGGAAAAAGGCAGAAATGCCTGAAAAAGGTTTAACAATTAAAATTAAAAATGTCCTATTTCCTTAATAAAAAATCTTTTAGTTTTCTAATAGTATCTCGCTTATTGTTAGCGATGGACCCAACAAACCCTACATGACTATGCTCNCCTTAGATTTGGCATTGACCTTCAAGGTTATTTCAAGGTCAAGTTAATGTTTTTAAATGGAATGCCCTACTTTTGACCCCGGAAATGAAAAGAGCGGAAAATTTTAAGTTCAGATATGTCCTTGACCATTTTCCGAATTTGACTTGATGGTCTTTAAAGGTTAAAATTCCTCAAAATCAGATTTCAGATTCGTAGTCAGCGACCCCAAAAACCCCCCTATACCAAATTTGGCGTAAATCGGTTAATTTTTTGGAATCGCGTCCGCCATCTTGGAAAATGTCAGGCCACTGTTAATTCTATGAAGAAAGTAGATGCAATGTTTGATCTTATGAATTCTCGGTTTCCATGGGTAAAGGGATATAAAGGCCCATTAAGATTAGAAAATGAATATATGTAGTAGGAGGCCAGTTGAGGAAAGTTCTGTGGAATATCTTTTTAAATTGAAAGATTTAAAAGGAAACTCTTTATGACCAACCCCCAAAAAAACTTCATTTCTTGGACTTGCGATATCGGTTATGAGTATATTTGATGACTACATAAGAACCGATAAGTTAAATTATAACCACCTAGAACTATTTTTCTGTGCAATTAGGTAAGACTTTGTAACACTTCTCTTTCGTATATATTTGTCTTGATTATAAATTTTAGAGCAAGAAATTGGTGGAATAATAATCCGTCCGCACTTCAGTTCATTGATCATACAATAAGTTAATACTACATGCAGATATTTCTGATAGTACCTAGTGGAAACTGTAGAGTCCCAGATACAATATCAATTCTATCAATTTCTAATGATGGAGCTTCCAAGAAAGGCTCCGTTCTGCAACAAATTGGCCTGTATGATATAAGGAAGCATAATATCCATTATCAGGAATACATCAATAGTATGCATGATCGTAATTATAATGTTTTGTCTAAAACAGATTGTCTTACTAATTACAGTGAGAATGTTGTATCATATATAGCAGAATATGTAATCAAAATGACAAAGAAAACAGTGCAGTGTTTCAGTTTATTAATATGTAATTTGCTGCATCCTCTACGCGGACAAACAAAATTGTCATCGAAGCAGGATGAAATTTTATTAAAATAAGTTTTCTCTATCTCAAAAATACCTATTTTACCTGAGTTTTTTTACTTATAACTTGGAACCTATGCATTTTGGAAGAATATTGAAGAAGAAAAAAGTTTTAGAATTGAATTTTGCACAATACTCGTATACCGTAAGTTAAAAATGTATAAATGTATTACCCATGTTGCAAAATAGTAATACTTGATGAAAAAAGGGCAAAATAATAAAGTTTTTTTGATAATTTTTAAAAAATATTTTAATTGGTCCGAGGGCATTCTAATTTTAGTAAAAAAAATTTTAAGAGTGTAATAAAACAATACACCAAATTTCATTAAAATCGGTTCTACAGTTTTCGCAAAATAATTTTTTTTTTTTAAATTCGATTTTTCCAAATGTTGCACAGCCTCAAATAAATAAGCATCTAGATACTTGAAAATTTTTTCACATAGAAAAGACCGCTCAACCTTTCAAATGGTTTTTGAATAGTTGAAATCGGTTGATTAGGACGGCCATAGTAAATTTTTAAAGTTAACACCCTTTTTTTATTTTTAAACAATTAGAATACATTTATCAATTTGCAGTTTAGTTTTTTCAAAAATTATAATTTTACTACTATTTTTTCGTAATTTTTTCTGTATTTAACAAAAAAAAATAATTTCTAAATAAAAAAATTAATTTGTTTAAACAAAAATTATTTAAATAATTGTAATAATTATAACTAAATATATTCACATTTAGAGTGTTGAAATATATACTATTATACAGGACACTATTATAAGAAATGTTTCAACTACTTATTTGGAATTACAGCAGAAAAATACGATTTTTCTATTTTTTTTATAATTTATAGTAATATCTATTAATTTATAATAAAAAACGATGCTGCGAAAAAATCCGTGGTAGACCCTGGAAACCAGAGGCGGACTGGCTAGATGAACAGGCCCGGGAAACATTCATTAAGCGGCCCGTTTTTTGAAAGAAAAATATTTTTCATCCTTCTACAGCGCGGACTGGCCCAAAATGACCGCGGCCTATCGGGAAACCTCCCTCTGCGACCAACACATTAAAAACAAAATTGGCCATTAATCCGATCACGGGAGATTTTGACACCAATCTCTCGGTCCACTATTGCAATTTGTTCAGTTCAGTTGTATTTAAAATTATTTTCATTTAACTAAACTAAGCAAGATAAAGGAGGGAAGGTAATTTATCAGGTTCTTATTTCTTGAAGAAAGTGGTTTAAGCCAAATTTAATGTATTTAAATCTAGGTCATTTTCGTAACTGTTTTGGACCCTAAAAAAAAATTATTCTGGCAGCACTGAAAGATGACAAATACATAACCTCTAAAAAGGTTTAATTTGTTTAACTGTAAAATCTTAATTAAAAACGAAAATGTCTAACATTAATATTAAAAATTTCTACACAAAACTACCCGAAATTGAAAACTCTATAAAAGATGCAAAATTAATATCTGTTGATCTAGAGTTTACTGCATTACACCCTCTTAAAACTCCTAGGTAAGTTCTCGATATTATTTGACAGACAATTTTTAATTGAATGTTTATATTTCAGTTTGTTTGATAGTCCTAATGAAAGGTACTCTAAATTAAGAATAAATTTAGCTCAGATAATTCCTATTCAAGTGGGAATAACTACATTTACCTTCAATCCAAATGATAGGAGTTATCATGGAAAAATGTATAACTTTTATATTTTACCTGCATGTTTTCCAACAATACAGAGGAGTTTTTATTTTCAGTCANGGCCGTGAGAGGTCTAATTACTCATGGACATTATATGGTAGGTCGTGACAGTGACAGGTAGTAATGTCTTGACAACATTGTTATTGATTGACAGTATGTATTATTATTTAATAAAAATAGGTTACATAGAAGTAGAAAATTATTTCGAATTAAAATAGAGTATGGAGAAGGACTTTGTTCTATTTTAATACCTATAATATTTCAATTTTCTACATCTGTGTAACCCATTTTAATTAAATAATAATACAAACTGTCAAACAATAACAATGTTGTCATGACATTACCTATCACTGTCACGGCCTACCATATAACATTGTCCGTGAGTAATTAGGCCTCTCACGGCCTAATTAGTGAGATTTACTTACAATACCTACAGCATTTTGGACCATATCAATGTTCGATCTGTCAAAATATATTATAACTAAATCTGTAAATCCTTACGTAATTGGAAAAAGGCAGAAATGCCTGAAAAAGGTTTAACAATTAAAATTAAAAATGTCCTATTTCCTTAATAAAAAATCTTTTAGTTTTCTAATAGTATCTCGCTTATTGTTAGCGATGGACCCAACAAACCCTACATGACTATGCTCAATAGGGAACGTTCTATCCAAATATGTAAAAATATACAGGGTGTTCCATTTAACTTAACAAAGTTAACATCCGCGGCCATTTTGTTTGGACTTCGTTTGTTTTTCTACTATCATGTTAGAAAAATTCATAAAAACTCGTGCAACTTTTATATTTCACATTGTTTATCTCTTAAAACAAAAAAGTTAAAGGGGGGTCAAAATATAGTGAATCACCCTGTACACCCTCGAAAACCTGTAAAATGATATGTCTGATGCTAACAATCGTAAATATTCAAACTTTGGAAAATTATATAAGATTTAGAGATACAGGGGGTCCAAAAAAATGTTTGTTCGATATTTTGATCACATTTTTGTTTAATTTGACGAAAATTTTCACTAATTTTTTTTATAGTAATTTGAAAAGTGATAGTGTAATAATGGCATATGACTCTTTTTCACTTGTTTTTCAAAAACTCTTAATGATTCAACTTAAAAATTCCAACGGAGGTTTAACTTTGAACCAGTTTTTTTTACAAAACGGCTTCTTTCAGCGACAAATACTAAAAGTACCTTTTGTACGTAAAATTGAATGGAGAATAGGCATGTTTAGTCAAAAATGACATACAGTGCAACACAAAAAAGTTATGGTTATTTAGATCCAGGTCCAACACTGTATGTGGCGCCCCCTAACATTAAATAAAAAACTAAGTAAATATTTGAGTTTCTCATCATCAATACTTCCAGTTTCCCGAATTTCGTCAAATTGCCATGTTATTGAACGAAAATACGACCAAAATACAAAACAAAAATTTTTCTTGGACCCCCTGTATCTCAAGAACCAAGCCGTTGCGAACCCATGTTCATATGGACTTTTTATTTTAAAATTAGTCAAAAATTCACTCTTTAAAGTTTGTACAAGTACTTAGGTTCTTAATAACCATCCTGTGTATATCTGTGTAATATCAGTAAAAAAGTTCGCTTATTATTTTCTTATTTTTCTGGACTATTTGGTTGAGCAAAAATAATAATTCTTGGCAGATTCTTTTCAGCTCGAGGGTTTGCACGATTAATTTTTTACATAAATAAACGGGACAATAATTTAAATCACAAACAGCAAATTTCAAGTGTTTATACAAAACAGTGAAAAAAAAACATACTACACTTACACATACAACATATTGCGAGCTGCATCGTCCTTAGATTCCATCGGGTCGGCACCATAACCTTCCACTGTATAACATTCAACTCTGCATATAGTTAGACAAACTACAGACGATCCAAGGAATGGGATATCGTAGTACGTTGGCCCATACAACAAGCCGTGCTTGTTAACAAAACTGTTTAATTGTTCAACATGGTTGGGGCGAGGTGTTAAAGTTTCATTTTCAGTTGATGTACATGGAGGTATCAAAATTTGCAAAGCCGCCCTAGCTGCTTCTTCTCTAGCGTTCTGTGACGTCGTTCCATAACCTATGGCTTCGATAGAGCATGCCTTCACGAGGCATTTGAAAAACAGTCTAGGATTTTCTTCGATGCATTCGACTTGGTAAATTGGTGGGCCTTCGCTTCTTTCCTGGGTGAACTGTAGTAAATTTAAAATTGGTGAATTCTTAGGCATAATCACGCTTATAAGTATATAATAATAATTACAACACAACAAAACTTCTCAACGCCGACAAAACGAACAACTGAAACTGAACGTCTGACTCGAACAAACACGGTGAGAATGAGAATAAAAAAGAAAAAATGTTGGCTAGTGACCACTGACCAGTAACATTGAAATGATAAAATGGACCTATTAAAAGCGGTTTTCATTTGGGTAGTATTCGCTTGGATCACATCATTTGTACAAAAGAATAACTAATTAAAATACCTTAGATGGTATATTCCCTATTTTAGGGTAAATCTTAGCTGTTTTCTTTTACTCATGATTTCGGAATCATAACGCGTTATGATCCGAAATCTAGCAATCTGATTGGTTTCCATCGGATCGTAACACGTTATGATTCCGAAGTCATGAGTAAAAGAAAAGGGCTCTTACTTTCTTTTGAATTAAATTACAAAAATAATGTACAGTCGTTATATTTCAAAAACCGTCAAAGATAAAGTTAGACTTAGTACCTATCAGAAGAAAGGGAATCGATATAAAATTCTATTAAAAAATTATATGAAAAATTAGCCCCTAATGGAGAAGACATGCAAATTCGATGAATGGTTGTTAGTAAATAAAAACAAAATTAATAAATTAAACTTGGCAACGTGATATTATTTAGGTTGTGTTCCGATATTATCCGAATTACCATTTCTGGTTTCACCGAGGTAACGGTTGGTAACTGAAAAGAAGGGAATAATGGACCAGCTTCGGTAGTGAAGAGAAAACAAAATTATTAAAACTAACTTAACCCTGTCTAATCTAACATTTTATTGTTTAAAGGAAGTAGTGAGCGCGATGTTTTATGTATAGTTTTATTATAAAAAATAGGCATATCTATTCAATAGGTAGTACAAAAAAATTGTTTAAAAAATGGATGTTGCACAAGCATTTATATTTTATAATAAATTTACACTCATCTGATAGTTCAGATTCTGATGATAAGGTGTATCATTTCTTTCGTGGAGCAATGGGTAAATAAATTCTAGAAACACAAACACTGTAAAGTAAACAATAAGTGCTACAAACCACAAGCGGTTACAAGTTTACCGATTAAAAACGTCGGTTACTTGTTTGACAGTTGGTTAACCAATTTCAGGTAATCACTGTTCCAAAATTATACAGATTTCAGGAAATGACAAATAATGGAACGTTTAACCAGGGTTTTGGTTAACCATGTTTGATATCGGAACACAATCTTACTGAAGGTACTTAACATGGAGACTAGATATAGTATAGTCTCCATGGTACTTAAGATCAAAATCCATTTAGAGAACTTCAACTAAGTAGTACAAAAAAAATTAAAGTACACAATTATGTCACACTTTGTTGCACCGAGATGTTTTTCTTTTAAGACGCTAAAACGGTTATAGAAGAAAGGACACCCTATATATAAGCTATTAATTTTTAAACTATTGGTTTCAGGTTTCAGGGTGCGTTTTTCTTGAAAAATAATTGTAGACAATGTTATTAAAAATTGTTTTTTAAAAATATAAAACACGAAAATAATTTATTCTTAATGTCGTTGATAGAATTTTTAAACTCAACTGATTGGGCGATGGTTCTGGGAGAGCAAATAATAGTAAATATACCATTTACTAGAATAAGATATGGCTGTCATATAAACGGTGAGGGTAGAATTTACTGGTCACAATGGGCGAATGATGAGTGGAGAGAAATAAGAAATAATAGCATTTTATGGACTTATTGGAGTTGGCTGAGGGACGAACCATGACGGAGGGATGGTAGGTAGACAGATATAACGGCATGTTACCGGACTTGATTCGCCAATCGCCATCGATCGCCATCATTCTCTTCTTCATCAGTGGAAGGGGTTGACAGCGAACGAGCGAACGAATAAGTAGAAGTCCAAGTCGACATGGAACTGTAAAAGGTATTACAGTCATCTTTAGAAGATAGTTTTAACAGTCCTTATGTAAAGGCCCTTTTCGGTGCTATAAAATAAATAAAGGGATTTTTTAATAATTGCTGTCAATGAAGTTAGTTCCAATAAAATTTATTATTCTCAATACAAAAAGAAATTGTTTACTTATTTATATTTTAAGTGCAAAGAAAAAATTCTATACAACTTGAAGAGATGAAATAAATTTCACTTAAACTTAACTTAACTTAATCTTTTAAACAAAAAAATTTACAGAATGAAAAAAATTATAAAAACCTCTTCCAGATTTGCTACGTTTCAAGTTTTCAAAATTAGCAGTTTACTTAGTGGTCCATAGAGTAACAGGTGATTTGTGACATAATAATGTGATCTGGTCAAACTTACCATAGTGCAAAAGTTAACAGGAATACCGAGGATATCTAAATAAAATTTTATTTTCATTTTTTTTAAATAACCTTGAAGATACTGATGAATACCGTTTTCGAGATATACCGGGTGTCCCATCAGAATATGTGGGCAATCTCTCGAATTTATACAGGGGACGTTAAAATAACATGACATTGACAAGTCCAACAAAAATTTTCCCTAGAGGGCCCCCCTACGGAGATCCCGGCCCCTAAAGAATGCTTCTGAAAACCTATTTCTTTTTAAATACTTTTGTGTAATTTAATCATTTTTTAATATGAAGGACAACAGATAAGACTCCTTAAGAATTGACCCATGAAAACAACTTGGCGTATTTAGTTTGCTAGGGACGGACTAGCTATAGCATAATGTCATTTTTTTTACACCTTTTGTCTACCTAAAAAATGTCACTTTTATTCACACCTGTTTTTTCCTAAAATAATTAAATTGTACAAAGTATTTTAAGTTATTACAAAAAAAAATTATTTCCTCTATATCCTCGTAGGACCTGTCTCCGTAGAGGGCTCCTCTAGGGAAATTTTCTATAGGAACTTATTATGTTGTTTTAACGTTCCCTGTATAAATCCGAGAGATTGCCCACATATTCTGGGACACCCTGTATGCGTTTAAAAGACACTGTATGACAAGAAGGTTAGAAGGAAATAAAATTGAATGTAGTGTAATTTTTAATTTATCGAAAGAAAAATTCAAATATAAACATAACAAACTGAACTGTAAATTCATGGACTTTAAAAAATATGTTGGGTAGATTTCTAATAAACTGCGAGGCATTCAGTATCTGGTCCCATAATTCTTGTCGAATATTAATTGTAGGTGAGAATAAACTAATGTTTTGAAATGGCCCCACAAGTAATAATCAATAATATTTAAATCAGGACTGCAAAGGGGCCATCGATATTCACTTCCTCTTCCAACCCATCGAATCCGATCATCAAAAAGTTCAGTTGGCATGAAATTTAAATAAAAATTACCGCTTAGATTTGGTGGTAATTGTATTGTTGGATTAGGGCTAATAAATAAAACTACAGTCTGTTCAGCTCAGAGTTTATTCAAGAAGTGCTTAAGATACATATTCCTAGTTATCAATATACCTCTTTGAGAAAAGCATGGGCCAAGCTGGTCTTAATAAATAAACAGAAAAATAAATTAAACACTTAGATCAGTCTTACGAGTTTCAATTTTTGTAACTATATATTTCTCGTGATATTTAAAACTCCCACTTTAAAAAAGTAAAACGAATATAATCATTCATCTATAAATTAGTATTTATATGAATTCAACACAATTGAGGTGCGGCTCGTATAAAATTTCATATAGTAGCTACATAGGAATATGGATCTAAAACCTAAAAGGTAAGCAAGTTTGACAAAAATTAAATTAGGAAATTATTTACAATTGTCGCCGACATTCTTTAAAAAAAAAAATTTGACTTTTTAACAAACATGCTTATTCGTTTCGGCGTATTCCATATGATTTTTGTGTATAAGCTGTTCGTAACTACTTAAATCAAAAGTATCCAAACAAATGGATGGGTAGAGGTAATGGTGCTCGTGTAAATTGGCCACCACTATCTCCAGACTCAAATCCATTGGATTACTTTTTATGGGGTCATCTTAAGTCCGTGGTTTACACATCGGTAGAAAGCAAAGAGCAACTATGGCAACGTCTTCAAGATGCAACAAATACTCTTAGAGGCGATAAAGAAATTATGCAAAGATTATCAATTTTCTTTGTCATGTAAATGGTGGCTTTGAACAGTTACTATGATCTTTTATTTATTCGTGTTTTCATAATTTAATTTTTTGTCAAAATTGCTGTCAATGATTAAAATTACAAATTTCGAATAAACCACGAGAGTAATAGTCTTATCAAGAGTACCTTTTTTTCAGTGAGTAATTTATAATTTTATATTTAAAATTCTTTTCTTGCATTGGCGTATAATTATTAATAATTACTAAAAAAACCCAAGTTCTAAGCCAATGGATTGATATTACTCGTAATTTTAATGTCAATTTATCAAATTTTAGCAAAATCGCATAAGGCGTTTTAAATTTATATGAAAAGAAATGATTTCAAAACTGCAATTTCAGTTTAATATTCTACCCAAACGAGCAACTTTTAGTCTAATCAATATAGGTAGAAGAGGTTACAAAAAATACCACCTGGAAACAAAAAATATGGTGATATAGGAAAAAAAATTCTAAGATAGTGTTTTTTTTTCTGTGGCGCATAAACGGCGGAGTTAAACTAAAAAATTCGTAAGTCAAAAAAACTGTTTTTCGTTAATAAAAGACAAAACTTGAATTCCAATCGAAAAAAGTTAAATGAGAAAGTTGTAGCTATTAAAAAAACCTATCCATTTATATTTTTAAATATATTTAATGCTATATTACTTTTCGAGATTGAAAAAACTCAAAAATCAACTTTTATTGGTTTTGTTATATCTCTTGCAAATTAAGGTTTTGAAACTTGTTACTTGCTGTAAATGTAGCCCTCGGCAAGCAAAGAAGTGCTTTTTTTTAAATTAGAAAATATAAAAAAAATTTCTAGTTATAGACGACGAATAGTCGTAGAGAAACAAATCAGGGCTCATTTCTTTCCTCAAGTTGTACTTTTATGGTAAAAAAGAATGATAACGATTTTATTCATTTCAAGTGTCCAAAAATTACTGAAATAAGTAAAAATTTTTTGCTCGCATTTTTCTCGACTATCTTTATCGATCTATATTTCT